ATTTTGTCTTTATTAATTTTACATAACATGTTTTGTAGATAAAAACATTTTTTTCGAAAATTTAATTAACGACTTCATCGTTATCATTGTAAATATCAAGGATTTGAAAAAATTTACCGATTATTATGTTTTTTAGTATTATAGAGCTAGAGGTCGTGTTTTTTGTTTGTTTGTTAATAGTTATTTTTATATAAATAGTTTAATCTACATAAACACATGTGGTCTGAAAAGTGCAAGTGGAAAGCTGATTATAGAACACCTTTCAAACTTGACAGACCACGAGGGTTAAAGAATTATACGTTTACCTTGTTTTTGAATAAATCACGTTTTTTATTCGGGAAAAGTTCTGAATTTTTTAAAATAAAATCGTAATGTAATTTGGTCGTTTCTGATTATTTTGCTGCCTGTTCTCGCCGCTTTGGTCTGTCGGACGGCCATGTTCAGTGGTTGACCGTAGGTTGAAACAAGGCACTGTCTCATTTCATCCTTGCAATATTCCCAAATTCAAACTATGTAGAGTAAGAGTGACTTCAACCTGCTTACACCCCGACCAACGTCTGAAGATCGTGAAATGCCGAAACGCTTGACAGACCGACACAGGGAGAATAGTCAGACCAAAATGATCGGTAAGGACCAAATCAAAGTTTCATGAAGCTTGTGTGATAAATATCGTTATTTTGTAAAGATTTCTTCTTTAGTGTGTAACTACGAGTTTAGTTAAAAAGAAGGTTATTTGTTGCTTGACGATCTCAATTCGTCCTGATATGCCTATTTTCGCTGGTTTGGCCTGTCGGGAACCATTCGGTATCCATCTTTAGTAGTTGTCCAGGGCCATAAGTAGGGTGAGGCAAGCCACCGTTTCCTTTCATATATGCAAATTTCTCAAATGCAAACCATCTACATTAGTACTCAATCTACTTATACCCCTAACCAACGTCTGAAAATGGTGAAATACAGAAACGTCTGACAGACTCACATAGCAAGAATAAGTCAAGCTAAAATGATCGGTAACGACCAAATTAAAGTTTATTGAAATTTACATATAATAATAAGTATTGATATTTGTAAAGATTTCTTCTTTAGTGTGTAACTAAGAGTTTTATACCGTTATAAAAGGAAGGTTGCTGAACTGCTGCAAATTTCTCAAATGCAAACCATTCACCACGAGGGTTAAGGAATTATAGATTAATCTTGTTTTTGAATAAATCACGTTTTTTATTCGGGGAAAACTTCTGAATTTTTTAAAATAAAATCCTAACGCCTCGTCTATTAATATCACATTAGACTACTCGTCGGAAATGGCAGAATAATTACAAATTGGTGTCGTGATTTTAATGTTTAAATGTTTCATGTTCTACACATACTCTTGAAGGTTTGGACAAATCCCTCTTGGATGAAGCCAAATTGGCTCTGACGTCTGACATTATGCAGCCGGTCGAAACATCAAATTAAGTTTTACGACCTGCATAAACGCCTCGTCTGACATTTAGAATGTTTAAGACAGAAAACTTTAACCTGCCACTCTGACAAATTGTAATATTTTTTGTTTTTATTAGGATTTTTAGAACTGCGATTTTTAGCCGCAACATGCAAATGAGACAAACAGACCAAACAGACAAAAAACAGACAGTGACAATCTAGCAGGTTACACTTGATAGAAATCACCCAGCAGTGCCACTCCCTCACATCAAGTGAAGCTTGGAACGTATTGGATTTCCATGAATGTTGGGACAAGAAAGGTATTGGATAAGTGGATTAGGGAGAAGGTCCAATAATGACCATCACAAGGAATGAGCCCATCACAAATGAGATTTGGAGGTCATTGTGGATTGTTAGGTTTGAAACGTAGAAGTTTAATATTTTTCTCAGATGGATTGGATTTTATAGTGGTGGAAATGGGCTACCACGCCTGGCTCCTTCAGACTACCATCTTTTTCGACCAAAGATCAACTTCATTAAAAAGAAGCATCATACATTGGAAGACGTGTAAGATTGGAAGGGGTTTGATTACCTGGCTTCTAGATTAAGTACGATAAGACATGTCTGTGATCTAAAATATAGATATATTTTTTTGGAAATAAATCATAAATGTCCTTTAAAAGGACATTTTATTTATACTTAACCGAGAAGAAGACAACGTTTCGACATTTTGTGTAAATGTTGCTATTTATAATCTTAATGGGATAAAAGGGTTAGAAACTATTATATCGTCAACCTTATAAATTTCAACATTTTATGGTTACTATTCAGCACACGACCCGGGCTTTAAACTTATCGGCCCTGTTTCGCCTTTTGATTTAGGACAAGTGGAGAGAACGTTTGACTCAGCCCCGGAGGGTGAATTTGTTCGCTCGCAAACATACTCCAAGATTAACAAGGAGCAAAGCCCTATTAGTCATCCCCCGCCAGCCCTAAAGGGCCAAGGCAGGGGAAAAAAGCCCTTTCATAAGGCCTACCCCCCTTTATGCTAATTGCCTTTACGTGATTAACAAACCGCGTTTATTCCTTTTTTCACTCACAAAAACCCACTTGTTGTAATGGAAATTAGTGAGACAAAACATTTTATATGCCGAGTCATAAGCCAAAGATAGGTAATATAGCCAAATATAGCTTTTTAAGAAGTAAGTGACATTATGGTATGAGGAGTTTTTTTTATGTTCAATTATTGTAATAATGAATCCATAATCGACTTAAAAACATAGATCACTAAAGGATTAATAATAAGTATGTATCAGGAAAAGGGATGCCATTCATAAAACATACATAACCGACCTAATAATATAACTTTAATTGGGAGGCGTCGGTGGCCGCAACGGTTTAGGCGTTTACACGGCGCTCATCGCTGTAACATAAAGGTCCCGAGTTCGAATCCAGCGGCCCTACATTCGAACCTGGCATACTTACAAATGGGCTTTTTTTTTTTCAAAAACACCGGCAAAAAACATGCAATTAAACTGACTAAATCTGAATTCTATATTAAAAAAAATTATATTCAATGTAAACCCAAAAAACTTTAGAAGCTAATAAATAAGGGTACAAATGATAACATTCCAAAATCATCATAAAACTGAATAGACATGATAACCTAGAAATAATAAATAATCCAACTGAACATCCGTAACTATTTTCCTAAAGTAGGTGCGAACATTAACAATGATATTTTACATAATGTGGGTAATAATAAAAATTTTGTGATAGATTATTACCTTCATTCACTACATAGTCCCACTAAGTTTACTTTTTCTTCAACCTATCTCTATTAATAAAATTTACAAACATTAAAAAGAAATAACTTTTTAGTTGAATTATGTTTTTAAGAAAACCACAGTTTCTATATATTCCTATTCAACATATTTTCAACCTATCTTTTAAACTTGATATTCCCCCACATTTTTTTCACACAATGATCATCCCTTTTATAAAATTAGCTTAAAGCTTGAAATTAATAACTACCGCCCTATTTCACTAACATTATCCTTCTCTAAAATACTAGAAAGGTATTTTAAAGAGAAATTACTTAATAAAAAGAAAACTTATTGTATGTAATCAATATGGGTTCCAGCCTGACAAATCTGCAGTTCAAGCTTTATTTGATGAATCAATGGAAAAATCTTGATAACAGACATGTTATTGGTTTATTTCTCGACATTAAAAAAAACGCATTTGATTCCGTTGATTATTCCATGCTAATTAGTAAATTGATATTGGTGTATCTGGTAAACCTATTTAAATGAAACCAAAATAAACAAAGCAAACAGTATTATTTAACATTCAGTACGTAGAAATCTTTAAATAACTGAATAGTGTTTATTCAAGATTATTTTTAATAGCGGACTTTTTATTATTTGAAGTTTATTTAGTTAGAATGAGAGGTTATCGCTTGAGTGAATGTATTTATTAGAGTGTTAGTAGTGTGGATGATAGTATGTGTGCGTGGATAAGTCCGTGGTGTGTACTGAATATATCAAGTATACCATAACCCACCAATCTAGGTTAATACTTTAGACTCATTGTGCAAATGTAAATTTTAATTGTACATAAAGTATAAATAATGCAGGATTTTGGTATTAAACAAAAAAAAAGAAACTAGTTACTTTAAAGCAATGTTCTTTAATCAAAATAATTTCCCATACTCTCAATANAATGAGTAATCCTGTAAACGTAAACAGAATATTTTATATAGATTTTTTTTAATGAAAACTTAAAATCCTGCATTATTTTCCGGACAACCCGATAATAATTTATCAAATGTTCCTGCAATAACTTAAAAAAAAAAAAAAATTGTACTACAATCTCAATGCTTGTACAATACAATGTAATGTCACTATAAATTTAGGACTTGCTAAAGTAGACAGCGGGTTTTATTACCGTGCTGACAACACTGCAGTAAGATTCCTGTATAATGCTAAGTCCCGGTCATTAACCGTTAAGTTTTATATCACTTGAACTCCAATATATAACTCTGATTAATTTATAAATAATAAAAAAATAATAAAATTTATAATTATGTTTAACTCCTGTCTTTATCACAGGGTCTTTTACTGAAGACAGGCTGCATGATTTCTTTCGTCATAATTATATATTACATATTGCAAAATTGTACAGCAAATAAAAATTACTATTATTATTAATTGTAGAAAATAAGCTGACATTTTTGAAAAAGTGGGATTATTTTTTTAAACGTGACATTTAGTATCTGCTCAATTTTTGGCAGAACTATAATCAAATTGTTTTTTGTATGCATAGCAAAAATTGAAATCTTTAATCTTTTATTTCGGTATACCACCCGCTTCTATCCACATGTGAATCCGTAAAACCCGGAGGGGGCCATGACATCTGGCAGCTCCCGCGGAGTGTCGGGCCAACTTAATATTTTTTTTTCAATTTGTTTTTCAATAGTCTATTGCTTGGTTGAGTCGTGCCATGTCAAAAGTGTATATTAAACATATTCAACGTTTAAAAAATAATTAACGATTTAAAAACCTATTTTTTTATTCCAGGTCTGACGTTTCCAGGATTGAGGGCGGGATACCCTACCGTTTTACCAGCGCAATATGGGTAAGTTTCGTCACATCATGCACACACGAATAGAAAAAACAGGTGTCGCCATCCCTAATATTATTAAAATGTTTTTTGTGTCACATCCTTAGTATAAACAGATTATGCCAAAAACGAAACCGCAAAGGTTAACCATCACCGACTTAATAATTCGACCCTTTATCCGACCATCTGCCCCATTTACACAATAAAAGAATTTCCCACATTTACATAATATATGCAACGCCCAATACAGAATGACAAAACTTTATCATGACCATTATTATTTTTTTTTTTAAATACGGATAAAAATTGTCACTCATAATTCAGCATGAATTGAAACTAGGTTTGTTATTACATAGACCAAATAGTTGGTCTCTTTTCTGGTTATTAAAAAACATTCTCATTGGAAAAATTAGTTTCCGTTAAGAAATGAAGTTTTTGTTAAAAACTGTTATATTTTACATACATACACAACACCTACGTAGACCAAAGCGGCCTCTTTTTTAGATTAAAAAAAATTAAGGCCTCTTTAATAAAAAAATCCCATTGTAAAAATTATGACAGTTCCTATTATCTTCCGATTGTAGGATCCGAATTAATGCAAGTTGCCGTTAAGAAATGAATTTTTTGTTAAAAACTGTTATATTTTACATACATACACAACACCTACGTAGACCAAAGCGGCCTCTTTTTTAGATTAAAAAAAAATTAAGGCCTCTTTAATAAAAAAAAATCCCATTGTAAAAATTATGACAGTTCCTATTATCTTCCGATTGTAGGATCCGAATTAATGCAAGTTGCCGTTAAGAAATGAAGTTTTTGTTAAAAACTGTTATATTTTACATACATACACATCACCTACGTAGACCAAAGCGGCCTCTTTTTTAGTTTAAAAAAAGTTAAGGCCTCTTTAATAAAAAAAAATCCCATTGTAAAAATTATGACAGTTCCTTTTACCTTCTGATTGTAGGAGCCGAATTAATGCAGGTTTCCGTTAAGAAATGAATTTTTTGTTAAAAACTTGTATTTCACACACATACAACACCTACGTAGACCAAAGCGGCCTCTTTTAAATTAAAAAAATAAGGACTCTTTAATTAAAAAAATCTCATTTAATGATTAATTGATCCAAATTATGACAGTCCATTTTACCTTATGGTAGGATCAGAATTGATGCAAAAGTTTGCTGCAAAAAATTAAGTTTTTGTTAATCGTGCTTCTAGGGAAGAATGAAATGAACACAAATTGTTATAGGTATTTCACAAAAAAAAAAAAGAAAAAAGACAGTCAGACACATACACACACAACGGTAGGGATACACACGACGATGGTTGAGAGCATTAAGGCATCTGATCGTCAAATCTCATGGATGTCCTCGGTTCAAATCCTGACGTTTTCTTGGAAATTTTAATCAGCGATTTGTTTGTCTGTTTGAATAAAAACTTGCAACACTATTATAAGTTAGTATGATAGTGTGTATATGAAATCAAATTATATTTGAATTTTTGGAGGTATCTTCATAAGGTCTTTGTGATGAAGTATTTATATCGCCATCCTCAGGGCCAATTTATTGAAAAATGCATATACCAACGGAGTTACAACGAGATATTTAAGAATTACATTGTTTTCATAATAAAATTTATATACTTTAACCAATGATGTAAATGAATACAATGTAGAGTCATTTTGAAATTAAAACTTAAAAATTAAGGAAACATCCAAAAAAGATAATTTTTATTCAATTATATTTGTTATTACAAAGACCAAATTGGCCTCTTTTTTGGTTAATAATAATTATCCCTATTGGAAAAATTATGATCGTTCCTTTTACCTTCTGATTACAGGTTCAGGATTGATGCAAGTTTGTTTTAAGAAATTATGTTTTTGTTTAATATGCTTGTATGGGAACAAATGAATGAACTAATAATGAAATGAACACATGAACTGTAATAGTTTTACACATAAGCCCAAAAACCAGAGAAAAACACAGACATACAAAGTTACAAACACTCCTAGAACAAAGAAATACATTAACACATATCCACAAGCATAGGAACGGCGATTGCTGAGGTCATTAAGACATATGATCGACAAATCACATGGGAGTTCTCTTTTTAATTCTGGCGTTGTTTTGGAAATTTTTTTTGACGTATGCAAAACTTTTATACGTTAGTCTAGTAGTTCAACCTTGCATACATACGCGCGAAAACATAGATGGCAAGGATCGTTAGTCGCTTTTGTCATCTAGGATGTTGTTTTTCTCTCTGCTTATCTATTTCTATTGGTGTGAACGTGTATATTGGGGGGGGGGAATCATTCGTTTATAAAAACCTCTAGCCAATGATTTTCCAGTAAGTACAGAAGCCAAGCTGTTTGTATTCCAATTTTGGAAAGGGTTTATAGCCAGATAATGGACTCGACTTTTGAAAGGCGAAAAGCCCTTTTAATGATGTTACTAATGATAAAATTATTGCCCTGACGCAATTAAAGGCCGGCTTCTTGCGGTCGAAGCAGAATCGATGACGGGCCGCGCCTCTTAATAGAGTTCTGAATAATCCATATAAGTAATATACTTATTGCGAATCGATCCCAGTCCCGATAGGCCCTTTCAATTTGGTTTGCAACGCTTTTTTCCCCCTTCTCGTTTTATAGTAATTACTTGTCCGAAGTGTTGGCTTTTCCGGGTCAAGATAACAGGCCTGTCTGACCTGAAAGACAAGTTCATTCCGGATATCATCTATAAACATGTGCCATTATGAACTTTCTTGTGAACACTCAACTTAAAAGCTTCCTCTCGAGTTTATTATTTAAGGGCAAGGTTCGAGTACAACTTGCGGTTCAAAAGTGCCGTTTTGTGAACATGAGGAAAAAAGCCCCCGAAAGACTTGGTCTTATCTATTGAATATAAAATGAACATTATCTTTTTTTTCATTATCCATTATTTGACAAAGTTACTTGGTTTTTCCTTGTGCTTTCTAATAAAACCATAAAAATTAAATACAGTAGGATCTTTTGTTGAGGTCCGCGGAGTGTGAACATGTAGTTTTTCTGATCATCATCCGACGAGCCTATCCTCGCTATTTTGGTCACTCTGACGTGTTTCGGCATTTCGCCATCTTCAGTGATGAGTCAAGTACATAAGGCAAGGGAGGAAAGGCCCTGATTCGTTCATATATATGAATTTTGCGTTAGCTAAAGGCGAACGATGTACATAACTATTATTTCAGATGATTGCTGCCGATCAAGCCACGAGAATCATTTAAATTTGGTCGTTTCCGATAATTTCGGCATTTGGCGAGTTTTAGTGGTTGGTTAGGGATATAAGCCATGAGAGGTAAGGTAATGACTCGTTCCTGTTTTGCGAATTTTACCAGTGTCAAATGCACAAGATGTACAGAAGAATCTTGTCATGATTGTAGATGATCAAGGCACGTGAATCATTTAAATTTGGTCTTTCTGATAATTTCGGCATTTGGCCAGTTTTAGTGGTTGGTTAGGGATATAAGCAGTGAGAGGCAAGGTAATGACTCTAATGACTCGTTCCTGTTTTGCGAATTTTACCCGTGTCAAATGCACAAGATGTACAGAAGAATCTTGTCATGATTGTAGATGATCAAGGCACGTGAATCATTTAAATTTGGTCTTTCTGATAATTTCGGCATTTGGCTAGTTTCGGAGAGTCAAGGTTATAAGCAGGGAGAGGCAAGGCACTCATTCCTTTTTGCTTGTGTCAAATTCGGACAATGCACATAAGCGTGTTTTAATGACTGTAGACGATCAAGCTACAAGAACAATTACAGTTCTATAGTAACCAACCATTTCGGCATTTGCAAGTTTGTGTGGATGGTCAGGGTTATAATCAGGGAGAGGCAATGTTTGGTACGAATTTTACACGTGTCAAACGCAAACGTTTTACAGATGTATCTTGTGATGAATGCAGATGATCAAGCCACATGAATTATTTACATTTTATTATTTGCAATAATTTCAGCATTTTTACAATTTCAATGGTTTGGTTAGGAGTATAAGCAGTGAACTGACCTGACTTATGTCAAATGCTAACGATGTACGGAAGAATCTTGGGATGATTGTAGCTTGAGATGATTTAAATTTTCTCGTTTCCGATCCAGTGGTTGGACACGGATATAAGCAGACTGAGGCAAGTCTCAGGTCGGGTAGATGAACAATAAGCAAAAGTCCCTTACTTCGAAGTAGAAGTGTGGTTTCTTTACATATAAAAAAAAACAGAAATAAAAATAATTTCCGAATACCTAGTTAAGTATGTCGTTTCTGATCAACCTGTTCTGCCTACATTCGGCGCTTTTGTTTTCCAGATGCGTTTCGACCTTTCCTTTTCCGTGGTCACGGTTATAAGCTGGTCGAGGCACTTTTGCCTGTAGTTTTTGTTATCCTCTTGATTGTGATCTTGACCAACCACTGAGGTTAAATGTCGTCTGACATAATTAGCTTATAAGCGGATTTTAAGTTGGAAAGACGAGTAGGAGTTTTGAAAACTAAGTTTATTATATGAAATGACATGTAAGCATTCACAGTTTTATAAAACAAAAACAATACACTCAACGTTACAACATATAAAACTACATTTTCTCTTAATTCAATTTGCCCCAATCAAGGTGTGACAATAAAACTAAAATTAACTATTTATAATTTATTTAGATCTGAAACTTTAGTATTACTAATAACACAAATCTGTTTATAAGGTGTGAAATTAAGATATTCCTAATATTGGTCAAAGTAGTTACAATAGACACAGATGGTTAATTTATTATTAGTTAGAAACCTGTTAGAAAAACCTTTATCCTTTTCCAACTTTCGGCGACTCCTGTGTTTTGTATAATGTACAAGGGTAAATGAACAAAGCCCCGATCCGTCTTGGGTTCTCATATAGGGATGATGCGAGTAGTAGTTTTGGGTACTAATACTAGACTTGGGGTGTATTTTGCAGACGCCTGGCCACGGCGAGGACACTGCGATGATGACGAAGGTCTCATGAGAGAAATGTATGTTGGAGCTAAATTGCAAAAACATTCGGTCTGATGTCACTGGTTTTGTTTTAAAAAAAAAAGAAAGTGAAGGGAGGCCTGACGGTTCATATTTGGAGATTTGATAACTGGTAACTTTTATAAATTTGGGTTTGGATAATTTTTCAAAATTAACTTATTTCATTATAACCGGGTTGAACTTCAACAATATTCAATGCATAATTATCAATTAAATTATTATTTCAAATGTTAACCTATGGCCTCCACAAGTTTGCAGTGTCTGCCTGATATTTAAAAACTTTTTATTTACTTTTATTTCCTTAGCCATGGTGTTGTTTGCAGTTCCGTTTGCAGCCTTTTACAAAGTCTATTTAAATAATTAATATAAAATCAATCATTATCACTTTTTGTTTATTTGTTTTTTATATATAAAATACAGCCAAATATTAGACTATTTGTTTTGGGTCGGCGTGTTTTTTTGCACGTTTGGAGTGTTGAGTCCCCTTAAATTTTTGGGTTTTCTACTGGGTGTTGTGGTTGTTTTATTTAATTTTTTTTTCTTTGTAATGTACACACTTACAGGGGACTGGCTCATCTACGGGCAGGAAGAGTCGCTCTCAAAGGAGTTTAAGACGTGAAAAATGTTTAGGAGGTCCGCCCGGCCTCGAGTTGTTTCCCCCCTGGATTAAATTTGATTTGCGACGATTATATTCATTTTCCGCTTTATACCATGACAATCGCAGTTGGCTCCTTGCCTGTCAGGCGGAAGACCTTTAACCACAACGTGGTGGTTATTTATAGATCGGTTTATTTGGGGTACAAGGCGTTGAGGCTGTTGAAATATATCTTGATTTTCCAATTATCTAATCTTTTATTCATTCAGAAACAAGAGCCAGCAATAAAAAGTTAAAATATATAAAAAATTGTCTTATTGATTGAGTTAATTAAATTAGTGTCATGATGGCCCTTGCTCTTCTACTACTTGAGCTTGACTTTTAGTAAGTGGTAAGAAATGATAATAGCTCAAGTGATAGAAGCGTCGGAGTACTGATCCGGAGGTCGTGGGTTCGAGTCCAGTTGTGGCACTACTTTTTCAACTCGACCATACTTCTCATAATAATTACGTGATAACTTTGGTTAATTGGACAAACTGAAAACATATAATAGATTAAATCTTATTAATTTTTTCCCGATTTTTTATTTTGTTAATAATTTCTGTACAGTCGCGGAAAACCCTGCAAAGTTTATATGTTATTTCTAAAGAAAACAAACGAAATCGGTTTCTTCCGTAATGTGTGTGACTCTTCTGCTCAGACAATAGGTAAGCCAAGTTCCGTTTTTATAGAAACTATTAATTTTTCACCCTGTTTGCTGTGATTTGTGGCTTGTAGGCTAGATTTCCTCACTTTCGTTTTGAATTAAACTTATATTTCTTTGTTTTAAACTTTTATTTTTAATTTAACTTTCCAGGCAAGCAGTTGCCTATTCTTTCCCCCCCTGCTAAAAGCAATATTGACATCTGAAAAAGTAAACACAAAAATTGTACTCTAAACAAAGGTACAAAAATTCCTAATATTGTTGTCGTATTTAATAAAAGTGCAAGTTTGTGCACAGTTTTTTTAATTTTGTTGTTGTTGGGGCAAATAATACTTTACGCTTTCGGTGTTGAAATATGTATTATGTTATTTATATATATATATTTTTTTTTTAACTTAATTTTTATTATATATATTTTTTTGTGTATGAACAGAAACGATATGTGATTATTTTGCAGGTTGATTCCTGGAGCAAGGGAAAGTCATAAAAGGTATTCCGAATTATACTTAGAAAGTTAACGGAAATTCGAGACGTACCGTCTTGAAAGTATTTTAGCGGATTGTGCAACTAACAGGACGTTTGTCGCACTTTTCCTTTCAATTTTGAAATAACGAAAAGAGAAAATTCTTGAAACATTAACGAACTATTACTTACCTTACCTCTTTTTCTATCGCTTGCCCTTTAACATTTTTGCGATTTTTGACGATTTCGAAATACTGTTTTAATAACGTATTTGTCACACTGGTTGGTTTTTCTTTAGAATAGCCTTCATCAATTATAAATAGTTTGTTTTTTCAATAGGAAATAGAAACGTTCGTTGACAATCTACGACGAATGGCACCCAACCTCATTCCGCGTGGTTGGCCGGTTCTTAAGAAATATGGCTTCTCTGTGTATATCTGTATAAGTTACTTCACCCGGATGCAAAGTTTAAATTTGGATCCGGCTTTCAACGCGTATATTAGAATGTCGGTACCTTTGCCAAAAATTTTCATCCGTGTTTGTTGTATTAGCGGCTGTTGGATATTTCTCACCTTTATACAATTTATAAATAGGGAAGAGGTGACAAAGCAAGTGGCAATCGAATGAATAAATAAAGCTTTTGTTAATTACGAAGTGGCCGGTGTATAATATCACTTCTAAACTTAACCACTATTAATTTATTTGTAATTATTCAGACTGCTGTTTCTGTCAGCCTGTGTATTTCTCTTTGAAGATTGTTAGAAAAATTAATAAAGAAGCAATTGGATTAAAGGATGAAAGCGGAAATCTTTAAGATCGCTATTTATTTTTTTGTTTTTAAATAGGCACCATTTCCAAAAATAATATAAGGGGGTGAGCAGTGGACTCTGCCCCTTAAAGTGAATATATTTTTGGAGTAGAGTTTCCTAAGCTAATAATTATAAAAGTGACGGGGAAAAGGAGGAAATAAAAAACCTAGGATGTGGTTCAACTGGGACAGACGCGTTGAGCGCGGGTTGTATTTATTTTGAACCGACTGATGATGGGACAGCTGGCGAAAGGTCATTCTTTTTTAGACGAACAGATAAATTATAACCTCGCCTACCAGGGAGGTGTATGATTTATAACGCTTATTACAAATGTTGAACAGATGCCTATCAGATATGTTTAATTTTGTTGTTCGTATATTAGCGAAAGTCTATCTTGAGCGGCAATATTGGCGGTAAAACGTGGCCGTTTTCGTTTTATTGAGACGCTTCTTTCACGTCGGTGTTTAGGGTTATAAGCTGGGAGTTGTAGAGCTCTGGGCCTTATTTGTGCAATCTGCCTAAAAATTATGTAATCTCCTCACATCACTTATAAAACTCACCAAAAACCCCTGAAGCAAACGTACAGTGGCTCGTGACTCTCGTTTCAGCTGTCAGTCCCTTTTCGTCCTTCGTCATTATCATCAGGGAGAGGTTAGTCTCTGAGTCTTAATTGTGCAATGCTTAAAAAAACTGACCGAAAAATCGCTACCACAAAGGTATAGAATTGTGAGGGTAATAAGTTAGGGGTATAACAAGGGAGAGACAAAGACCTATTTGTGCAATCTTGCCTGAGAGTTCTGCCATCTCCTCACCCTGTTAAAACCCACTGAAAACCGATACAACAAACGTACTGAAAAATGGCTCAACGTTTTGACCGTTCGACAACTTCAGCAGTTATGGTTATAAGCAGGGAGAGAAGTTAGGCTCTGGATCTTAATTGTACAATCTTGCATTTAAAGTTGGGTCATCTCGTTAAACTGCTTAAAAAAAACCGGCCGAAAAATCGCTACCACAAATGTATAGAAAAGAGAGGGCTATAAAGTTAGGGTTATAAACAGGGAGAGACAAAGATCAATCTTGCCTGAGAAATCTGCTAATCTCCTCACCCTGTTAATAAAAACCACCGAAAAAGGCTCAACGTTCAGCAGTTAAGGTTATAAGCAGGGAGATGCTAAGCTCTGAGTTCAATTTAGGAATCATGCCTGAGAGTTGTGTCATCTCCTCACACTGCTTAAAAAACACTGAAAACTGCCACAACAAACGTAAAGAAACTGGCTTACCATATTGACCGTTCGCTATCTTCTTGCAGTTAAGGTTATAAGCAGGGAGAGGCAAGGATCAGTATCCTATTTGTGCAGTTTATCTGAAATATGTATATATCCACAGTCTGCTTATAAAACCGCTACGACAAATATAAAAAGCTTGGCTCAAGAAAAGATAAAATATTCATAAATCATTTACACATAAAAAATAAACAACATATTCCACTAACGTAAAGAAAGAGTACAATCCTAACATCTAATGACAAAAAATCTAACCTAAACATAATACGACACAGACACATACGCACACACTACATAGTAAAATTAACTGCAAGAATAGGCAGGCCAAAACGATCGGAAACGAGCATGCCACAAATACTGTGCATTGTAGTAATAGTGATGAATAACAAAATAAAAAAATGAACGTGTATTAATGATCTAATTAATTTTTGATTTTTTCTCGTCCTCCTCAATATCTTGCCAAGCCTCGTCTATAATGAATGCCATAAATCTTGTATTTTAAGATTTTACGCCTCAGTTGTTCGGTTTGGATGAATTCGGCTTGAATTTGGCACTGTTTAACCCGGCTGTTACCGCTTCACGTTCTCGTTCCTTTCCTTGTATATGGCGGTGAGCCGAATAGCGTCTGATTAATAATAACGGGAGGACCTGTGATGATCGCTGGCTGTAAAATTGCTCATAACAGTTCATTAACACAGCTTCAGCATTTCGCGACATGATTCAGTTCAGAAAGAAATATTCAAATTTTTTTCGCCACAAAGGAATTACGCTTTTTCACGCACTACAAAAATAGTCTTTTTGGCCATAGGGATTTTTGGTCGAAAGGGCTTTACTGTTCGCTTCTTTGGGCTCAAACTCTCAGAGTTCTGCCCATCAAACAGTTTCAAAACGGCTCAGTGTATAAAAGTAAAATTTGGGTAAGAATTTGATTTGTAGCGAATAATCTTGGTAATCCAGTCTGTACTAATCAGTCGAGTATATCGTTTAAATTCTTGTTAACCTCGTTAAAATGATAGGTTCAGTATTTGAAATTGAATTTCTTAAAACAGAGGTGCAGCAGCATAGGTCGAAAATTTGTATTTATAAATGTACAACTTATGTACATGAAATGAACTTTGCCGTTTGGTGGTAAAAAGTATAGAACAGTATTAGAATGGTGGAAGGTATAAAACAGAGGGGATCTTTAAATATATGTGGTCCTAATCTCCAAAAGAGAAAAAAACCTTCCAAATTGGTCGTAATTTGTCATGGTGCAATTGGTTCGAAAAACAAAAAAAGGATGAATAATCGCCTCGGCTCATGTTGCGCATTTGCCCGGAAAAGACCAACTCTGGCATGCAAACTGCCGTTCGGACATTAGCAGAGGCGATCGACGATTGTTGATCGCACCCCCTAAGTTACATATGGCCATTCCGATAAGGGGTCGGACACGGATAAACGGAGTACGTCATGTTTTGATGTATGAATACGGTAAATAGTGGGTGACCTAAAACCGGCTGGCGTTCCTTTTTAGACGATATGAAATGTTTCGGCGACAAATCGTGTTAAAATAACTTGAATTCTAGCAAATCAGTAAGCAATCATGCCACTAATTTTCCTAGCGACTCAGGAAATGTCTGAAGCAAAAAAAACTGTCTTTAGCCTTCCCAAAAGTTCATTTTGTTAAGTTGGGTCTTCAAACGAATAAGTAAAACAGTATGTGACCTAAAACCGTCTGGCGTTCCTTTTTAGACGATATGAAACGTTTCAACGACAAATCGTGTTAAAATAACTTGAATTCTGGCAAATCAGTAATGCCACCAATTTTCCTAACTCAAGACTCAGTGAATGTCTGAAGCAAAAAAAAACTGTCTTTAGGCTTCACAGAAGTTCATTTTGTTAAGTTTGGTCTTCAAACGAATAAATAAAAGAGGACATACATCCGAAAATGAGATATTTTAACAAGAAATTTGCTAATATAAGGTAAAATCCATAGAAGTTCTACACCTCCAGAAAAATCACTAAACAATCATTGCTTCAAGGCTGCCACCAATTTTCCTAACTAATAAATGTCTGCGGAAGTCTAAAACCAACTACAGTCTACAGATTTCTCAAAGGTTAATTACAATACCTTCGGCAATATTTCATTTTATTAGTTAATTGTAAATTTACAATTAACAAACGACTAGAGTCCTACCAATCAACATGCGTTAATTTCGAATGGATTGACCAATGTCAATGTTTTTTGAAATTTGGTCTTCGAACGATTACAAAAACCAGCATAGGTCTTAAAACTTGACTGGGGTTTTAAGAAAAATATTAAAATGAGATTTTTTGACGAGAAACGATTCGGTAATATAACTTAATATCCTTCTAAAAGTTCCAACCTTCCAGGCCAAACATACCCTCCACCAATTGTCACTAATATTTCAGAAGGCATTTAGAGAAAAAAGTCTACATACTTCGCAGAAGTTAAATTCCCCTCGGTAATATATCGTTTATATTAATAATTAATTTATAATTCTTAATAGACGAGAGAACTGCCAATAGCATTTTTATTTTTTCATCGAATGGCTTGGCCTATCTACACTAACTCTGTTAAGTTTGATCTTCAAACGAATAAGGAAAACAGTGTAGGACCTAAAACGTACTGTAGTTCTGGGCGAAATATTAAAATGAAACGTTTTAACGAGAAACGATTCGCCAATATAACGTAAAAACCTTCTAGTAGTCTCCATTCTTCCAGGCAAAACATGCCTTCCATCAATTTTCCCAACTAATGACACAGTGGGCGTCTAAAGCTAAAAACAACGGACTTCTGAAAGTTGAAGAAAGTTGGTTCCCATCGGTAACATATTGTTTTTGTACTACCAACTATCCATTATAGTTGTTTCGGATGGATTGGCCATTCTACGCTAACTTTAAATGAATTTGATCTCCGATCGAAAAATAAAAAA